AGCACACCTATAATAAGGCAGCTGCTTAGTTAAACATGGGAGCTCTTTCCCTGTGAATCACATTTTTCATAAATTTACAAATAATTTTCAAATTGACAAAAATAATTCCTTGACATGAACTTGAATTAGGCTTTAGTGATTTTTGAAACAAATTTATGACATTTTGGTAGTTTTTCATTACAAAAGACTATCACTATATAGTATACACATGCCTTTTAACCCATTTTTCTACACAGTACTTTTGGGTATTGCTGTGATGTGGCACAACAAAAGAATGTAAGATGAAGATGCACTGGAAAACAATCAAACAGTGGCGATCAGCCAAGAACAAAAACAATGAAAAACATCAAACATGTGATCCTCTCTTCAGAACAATTTATTGTTCCATAAGAACTGACACAATTCACAAAAAGGATACACTGAAATCACACCACAAGTTAATAAAGACAAATTTGTGTGCAACTAAAAAATCTAAAGGCAGAAAACTACTATTCAAAGATATAGAAGGAATACAAAGAGAGTACAGTAGTGATTTTTGCCAATAAAGGCTGTTTGAATAAGACTGCTTCTCAAAGGAAATGAAAGTTTGGAGAGGAGGGACCTTCACTGCTGGGTGTTTCTCAGCTGTGCATTTTCTCTCCATAACAGTAACTGTTCAAATAGAGTGTAAGTTACTTTTTTATATGAAGGAATGATAAACCTAGGAAAATGAAAATTCATGGAGTTTCTGTATGAATTGGTCTTGAATCTCTGCAAGCATCCTTTTGCCACCACCCCCTTGTGTTTGGATAGCTCTTTGGCTTCTTATGAGGGTCATGCAGCCTGGCACATAAGAGGCACATGAAATTTTCAAACATTCTTGCAAATTGTCCTGTCCCATGCCACTGGAAAAAGGAGTTGAATTGACCATCATCCTTGTCAATTTCCTGGAGTTTCTTGGCAAGTGATTTTGGAGACTCAAAGTCATCAACATGCAGGAATGAGTTCAAGGGCGCAACTTCCAAGTAATCCTTCTTTTCTGCTCCCATGACAATTGGTATCACATTGTTCCTGATTGAATAGAATGTTAAAAGATCAATTATGTTTAATTTTTAGTTTGTGTACTTTTACATGAATGGCTTTCTGTGGAAGTCTTGGAAGGTTCTCCATTGTCTTTTACTATAGATTCTATTTAATGGATCAATGGATTTCTGTGATGATACACATGCAGTTGGGTCAAAATTTTAGAAGAAGGTAATCCCTATAAATGGAGCAGGAATGGTTACTCACTGCAAAGCATTGTCAAAGAATTTTTCTGTTATGTAATCCCTGCAGTTGCTGTTTTCAAAAGCCAAGTAAAACTTGTAATCCCTCTTCAGCATCTCAAAGCATTTGCTCTTATTGTTTCTAGAACATTTCAGACTCCCACATCTTCCATAAATGTCAACTTGTATATGTTTGCTGAGCTCTTTGGCATATTGCAGACGATTGTTCTTTGCATTACAATTTGAAGTGAACATGGCCACCTTCTTGGTCTTGTTTTTTGCCAGGTTCTCAGTTTGAGGTTGGGCTTTAATCTGCTCATTGAAATACATCCATTTCCCCATCAACAAGGGTATGTCAGAGTCTTTGCGATAAGTGGCTGTCCAATTGATGGAGTGTGGAGGTGATTTCATGGATGAATACATAGTTGGGCTTTCTTGGGTCCAAAGAACCCAAATCTGATCCCTGTGTTCATGGGTTCTTTCCATGTTTACATTAAAGTGGAAGATGACAAGGTCAACATCCTTACTAAAGGGCAACCCTGNGTCCTCTTTGCAAGTCGCATTTCTTAACAGGACAGTGTGAGAAAGCTTCTGTGCCTCTAGATGGAATCCACTGTAGATCATTGGATGGTACAATCAATATGGTTTTTATAGGTGCATTTGGTTCAATAAGAGGATTGAAAAGACTCTGCTCCAGGAATCTGTCATAACCAGGGGCTTCTTCTGGGTGTATGGGGAAATTCCTGGTTTCACTGGGTCCAAGTTGAAAAGACCCATTTGGAAAAATGTAAGGCAGTCCTGGAAAGTCAGACAACTTCAGAGGAGCCAGCAAGCTTGAAGGATGAGTTCCATCATCAGAAGCCTTTGATGATTTTCCAGTTAAATCATTCTGGATGTGATGGTGTGCAGAGGGAAGCCAATGGATTTGTTGAAGAAGCAGGAATGCAAATATAATGAGTACAACCGACCATTTCCTGCAATACAAAAGTCATGATCCAGTGTTTTCAGTAAATGGAAGATATCAAGAAAAAGAACCAGCAGAAGGTGTTGAGCAGCAACGCTAATCCATTCCTGTGGTGGTTTGTTGCTCAAACCAATCTTATTTGTGAGAGACAAAATAGCCCACCAGTAATTTTATTTGGGAAATTGTTTGATTGGTAATAAGGAAAGTAAACTAAAGAGAATGAACATGAACACTTTGAAAACTGACAAGAATACAAAGACAGCATTATCAACTATAAAGTGTCAATAAAAAACTATTCAGAAAACACAATATTAAAAATGAGGGTCAATCATATTCCTTTAGGCCAGGGTATAAATTTAGCCTTTCGAATGGCATTGTTTATCTTGATTTTCTCCATATGGGAATTTACCATCACAAAATTTTCTCTATTTTCAGAAATTTTAAAGAAAAATATTGATATAAATGTTTCTAATTTTTTTATCCATTTCCCAATAAGGCAAGAAGGCGTCCAAAGCTGGGTTATCTATCTTATTTATACAGATTATTATATCTAGCATACTAATTACACCTGTACAGTATATAACTTACCCTGTATATTTATATCTAGAGTTCTGTGTTTTCCTATCTCACCTCTTAAATAATATCCTACTCCTCCCAGGGATCGAACCCAGGAACTCCTGCATGAGTGTCTGGCCCCTTAGCCATACAGCCACAGGCCCCTTCACGTCGGAGTCTTGTTTGGTTTATGTGGATTTAGCTTGTGGAGACAAGTCACAAGCTAAATCCACATGTTCCCCAAACTTGTCCACCAATTTTGGATAAACTGCGGACCAGTTTGGAGAACTTATCCACCAGTTTCTGGCGCCAGAAACTGGCGGATAAGTTCTAAAAACTTGTCCGCAAATTTTGGAGAACTGGTGAACAAGTTTGGAGAAATTATCCGCCAGTTTTTGGCACCAGAAACTGGCGGATAAGTTCTACAAACTTGTCCGCAAAATTAGGAGAACTGGCGGATAAGTTTGGAGAACTTATCCGCCAGTTTCTGGCGCCAGAAACTGGCGGATAAGTTCTACAAACTTGTCCGCAGTTTATCCAAAATTGGCGGACAAGTTTGGAGAACTTATCCGCCAGTTTCTGGTGCCAAAAACTGGCGGATAATTTCTCCAAACTTGTCCGCCAGTTATCCAAAATTTGCGGACAAGTTTGGAGAACATGTCCGCAAGAGAACTGTACACTGGCGGACAAGTTCTCCAAACTTGTCTGCCAGAGAAAAAAATTGTGTTTTGGCGGACAAGTTCTTCAAAATGTGTCCGCCAGAGCACAGTTTTTTTGGNAGTTTGGAGAACATGTCCGCAAGAGAACTGTACACTGGCGGACAAGTTCTCCAAACTTGTCTGCCAGAGAAAAAAATTGTGTTTTGGCGGACAAGTTCTTCAAAATGTGTCCGCCAGAGCACAGTTTTTTTGGAGAAGTTGTCCGTAGAACTCATTTGGATGAGTTCCGGACATTTTTTGGAGACTTTTGTGCTCACTGGGTAGCATATAATGTGTATATACTTTCCACATTCAACATATAGGGCTCTGAAATTTTCATCAAGAGCAGTACTCCACTCAATCCCATAATTTCCAAGATCTTCACTAGAAATATCTTTGTGTGCCATGCCTTCTGAAATTTCAAAATTACATCATGAACACATTTTTTCTTTATGTCATAAACAATGCACAAAAAATGGTTCTTGAGGATATTTATAATGGTATATGATGGTCTTCAGTAAAAATATTCTTGTATAATTCTCAGAGCCTTTTACTGCAGGGCATGAATTATTTTTGCACTCAAACTGATATTTCATTTTTCCTGTCAAGTTCACAAAAAATATACAGAATATACACTAAAATTTTGTTAACACAAACTCCCAGGGACCTGATTATAAATTCATCATAAACAAAAATTACTGTACTTTTAATGAGATTCATGGTTTTTATCACATATTAGATTGAGTACCCAAAATATATGTAATGTTACTACACCCTAACCAAATTCCCTTCATTGTGAATACCGAACCACTTTCCCCCATATGGATCCCCCAGCCTCAGAACCCACTTGAACCTTGCGGGAGCAACAGCTCACGCGGGGACTCGCCCCTTGCGAAGGGTGGCAAGAACAAAAAAACTGCAAAGTGCAAATGTGTACCAGTGTTCTTAAAGCCAACCTTTTGTGAAAGATAAAACATGAAAACAAATACTAAAAGGAATTTATACCTCTAGATTTCAGAAAATCAAAGAAAATGAGTGAAACTTTTACAGAAGTACATCACATCAGTGAGGACAAGAATTCCAACGATACAACACAAGAACAAGGCAAGTTAACAAAGAAAAAACAAAATCAAACAAATATTAATAAGATCCCTATTGAATATAGATACGGTAGAGGATCACATCCTAAGCGAACCATTGGAGAAGCTTATGGATCAAGCGCTGTTGCGCAATTTACCTCACGATGAGGAGAATGTTGCTGTCAATGTACATGCAGGTGACAACACACTGGCCCGATTTTTACCAGCATTACAGGATCATGAACCAATCTGTACACTGGGTACAATTGCAAAACAAGTTGTCCAAAAAATTTACAAAAACGCAATGGCCAATTGCAACAAAAAAGATATTGTGGCAGAATATAATAAAATACTGCCACCAGTTGGAAATACAATCATGGGAAGAGTGCCAAGAATCAACCACCCATTATGGAACACACTTTCAAAACCTTCAAGAAGTGTGGATGCAACACTGCAAAAGATCCAAAATATGCTAATGTGTGTGAACAGTGGAATAGTGAAAGTGTTCATTGATGAAAATCTACCCAAAGCGTTGAGACATACAATGGGAAACACACTAAAAGCCCTGGCCAAATCATACATGATGCTCCAGGAAGAGAGGAAGAAAAATGTACGCAGCAACGCAAACGAAAATGTACGTGCAGACTTCCAAAACAATAGGATCCCAACCCAGGCTTTTGGAGAAAGCTGGGTCAATTTGTCAGATGGGGATCTGGTGAAGGAGATCGACCAGCTGGTAAAAGCGGATCAAGCGCTAAAACCAGGCATTTCAAAACAAACTTGGAAAGGAAAATCTCCAAGCATGCATGGCAGTCACAATAGCTACAGATCCAGACCGTACGCAAGGCCACAACCCCAAAATTGATTTCAGAATCGTTTTTTAGGGGAGGGCCAACTGAACAAATTTTGGCGTCAAAACGAGAAGATGCCGCAAAATTCCTTCAGGGGACAAGGTACCTGGAGGGGCAGATGCAACTAAAGGTCAGTTTGATACCCAATGATTTCATTGGAGGAAGATTACGCTACCACATAAATTTCTGGAGAGAAGAAATAATGCAAGATCCGTGGATCCTTCAAATGATTTTGGGCGCAAAAATTGATTTTGAAAAAATACAGAACAAACATCTGTCTAGATATAATCCTCCTATTAAAAGTGTCGAGGAAAAAGAAGCAACAAACAAACTCATGCAAGATCTAGAAAAATACAAAATCATCCAAAAAATTAAATGGCTTGACGGGTTAGTGATCAACCCAATCTTTCCAGTTAAAAATCACAACGGATCTTTCCACCTCATACTAAACAGCAAGGCGGTAAATACAGAGTGTGTACCGTACAAACACTTCAAAATGGAAAATTTAAATCTAGTCACACAAGGGATCAAAAAGGGAGATCTCAGGACATCTCTTGACTTACAGAAGGGATATCACAACGTTGCTTTACATCCCGATCATCAGAAATATTTTGCTTTCATATGGGGGGAAAAATATTATATCTTCAAAGCACTCCCCATGGGGCTGAGAGAAGCGCCAAGACTTTTTACGATCATAATGAAAGCAATCCTGAAAGTGGCCGGACAACAAGGGATACAAGTGCATGCGTACATAGACAATACACTCATAGTTGCGCCAACTGCAAGAGAATGCCATATTAATACTGCAAAATTTCATCAGCTATTATTAAATGCGGATTTTCTCATCAACTAAGAAAAATCAAGATTTCAACCAAGTACGCGCAGAAAACACCTAGGATTCATCATTGATAGTGAGAAAATGTGTCTTGAACTCCCAGAAGAAAAGTTCAATAAATTAAAATCAGATGTCAAAAAACTGAGAAGAATTTTTGAGAGAAATCAAAGTATCTCTCTCAGAAAATTTGCACAGATATCAGGATTTATTCTGAGTTGTCTACCAGCAATACCATACGGTCATGCCCATTTCAGGTATTTTGAACAAATGAAGGCAGACCTTCCACAACCAATACAAAATTGGGATAAACCTATATACCTCACACCAAGTATAGAGGATAAGATAAAATGGTGGGAAAAATTAAATCCACCATGTTACAAATCTTTTGAAGAGAAAAGAGTGACGCACAGAATAAAAACAGATGCATCCACTTCAGGTGGATGGGGTGCAATTCTAGGGAGCCACAAAATATCAGGCACCTGGAAAGTCAATAATGAAGCAGCTATTGACCTTTTGGAACTCCAAACCACTAGAATTGCGTTAGAAACCTTCCAGGCCAAAGGAATAAATTTCAAAAAAGCCAATATAGTACTACAAGTAGATAACACAACAGCAGTGTCATACATAAATAAGGGAAGAGGCATGGTCAAAAGACTGCATGATGAGACTGTAAAGCTTTGGGAATTTCTAGAAAAGCAACAGGCTGGGGCAAAAGCAATCTACATCCCATCAGTAAAAAATCCGGCAGATGCACTAACATGGATAATAACCAGGGAAGATGCCACAAAATTTGATGCAGAGTGGAAATTAAAAGAGGACTACTTTATAAAAATCAAGTCCAAAGAATTCCAATTGTTACCAGAAATAGACTGGTTTGCCACAAAACACAACCAACAATTAGAAAATTACTGCTCTTGGTATTTTGAGGAGCAAGCCAGCTGTACAGATGCTTTTTTACACAATTGGTCTGTTAATGTGGGATATTTTTTTCCTCCGTTTGGTCTTCTAAGCAGAGTACTGAGGAAAATTCAACAGGACAAATCAACAGCAGTTCTGATACATCCTGTATGGCCGTCCCAGCCTTGGTGGCCAATGCTCATACACATCAGAGCACAAACAATATCATTAGCCAACCTTGCAGAGGCAGTCTATCTACCTCAAATCCCAACTGCCTGCCATCACCTCAGGAAAACTCAACTTCAAGCATCTCTTTTTCTACCAGCAAACTGGACAAAATGGTAGAAGAAACCATCAAAGCAGCCAGAGCAGAAACAACCCGAAAACAATATCAAAATATCATTAACAGATTTGAAAAATTTGTTCAAGAAAATGGAGAAAATGTACAAAATATCAACTTCACAACTGTATTGAGATTTTTGGCAAACTTCCCAGCAATCCCAAACAAATTCTCATACAGTTATATTTGCCTAATAAAAACGGCAATTGTACAGTGGCTTACGGAGAACAACAAACAATCCATCATTGACCAAAACACCCTGGATCAATTCATGAAGGGTGCACAAAGAACATCAAGATCTTTTGAGAAAAAAGAAAAAATCTGGGATGCAGAAACAGTTCTAAAAAATCTGCAAAAAACAGCATATCCAGAATCGATTCTGCAACAAGCTTGGGAAACAGTGATCATCCTAGCACTAGCAACAGGGCTCAGAGTAGATGATATTTCAAAACTCGGAATAAATACTCGAAGAGAGGGCAAAGATCTATTCATACCTTTCTTGGAGATCCAAAAAACATCAATGGCTACAAAAAAGACAAGAGCTGGCATAACGGTGGCACCGTATACCCAGGACCAAAGAATATGCCCAATAAACCTAGTGGAGAGATACATTACGATGACGCAATTCTCCAATAGATCGGAATACCTTTTTGTCAGGGCAGACAATGGAAAAAGAGTTCAGAAGGCAACATTGAGAAAATGGCTGATAAATATTTTGGAAAGAATGAATATACAAGATACACCAGGCTCAACCCGCGCAGCAGCAGCAACATTTGCATGGGCCAAGAACAGATCTTTTGATTCAATAGCAAAATTAACAGGATGGAAGTGAGAATCTACTTTCCAAAAACATTATAACAGAAAGTTGATGGAAAAAGGGCAAAATCTCATGGAAAATCCTACTCCCAACAGCAGAGGGGTGCAACACACCCCTGTAGACAGAAAAACAGGAAACGACCCAAAAATATACCTAAAGAGGCTGTTTGAAAAAGATCCCCCTCAAAAAAGTGAAGAAGTAAAACAGGGGGAGGTCGGGAAACGCACATATAAAAGAAAAGCAAAACAAATTGTGCCGGAAGAGGCAATTGCGCAAAGAACTCGCGCACGTATGTCAAAGTGCGCAGCTGTTACTGTCGAGTGAGTGTCGTAAAAGGGCGACGCGATGTGTACATGTGTGAAAATCGGCACGACTTTTATAACTGTTTTCCTGCAAAAATGCGAAAAGTGTATATACGTGCAAGTTGAAAATTGACAATAAATGTAAAAAATGTGCTTAACGTCTTTTGTTAATATCCTGGGAGTGGACTTTGTATCTGATTCTCAAGATTCACAGTGAAGGGAATTTGGTTAGGGTGTAGTAATGAAACCCCCAGGCAAGGGCACCATTAGCCTGGAGAATGTTACTACTTACGTTACCAAATTCCCTTCACTGTCCCAATATAAAAAACTCCCAGCCCACCCTAACAAGGGACGGACACAACGTTTCCGAATTAAACCCGCTAAAATGTCTGAGGCTGGGGGATCCATATGGGGGAAAGTGGTTTGGTATTCACAGTGAAGGGAATTTGGTAAGGTAAGTAGTAACATTCCCCAGGCTAACGGTCCCCTGGCCTGGGGGTTTTGTTGTTTCATGTTTTCTAAGACTGTTGTTTCTCTATTCACAAAGTTTTTTTGGTTCTTGGAAGAAGGTGGAATTTTGTTTTACTTCAATATTTTCCAATTTAAGTCATCAATTGAATAATCCCTGCGGCTCATGCATGAAATCAGGACCACGAATTAGTTATGATTTTTTTTAAATGACGCCTATGGGAAACTGCCATTAGGACCCAAGAAAAAAATTGGTAAAATGAAAAATTCCTTGAAACGAGATTCGTTGTAATGGAACTTTACTGCATACATTGATTGGCTTTTGGGAATCAATCTTTTTTCTTTATCTATGAAAAGATCAATTATTTGTGAAATTTTATAGTGACAGCTTCACTAGTAAAATACTGTACTGCACTAAATACAAATTGTTCTCCATTCATTAATTGCCTGTAAACAAAAAAGAGGGGGGAAATGCAACTCACCGTATTCCTTTTCCTAATCGTTGGATGAATAAGCTGATGTTGGTCATTTCAGGGCTCTTTTCAAATTGCTTTGAATAGAAAAATATTAATCCTGCCTTGAAGAATATTGTGTCACTCTCAATTGAATCCCTGATGGATACACTTTCGGGAGACGAAAAACTAATTAGCCAGCGTTCAAAATATGTGATCAGCTATTTTTTTTGTTCCCCTGTTCTAAATCCAGTTGCTCTGCTCAGGGCCAGATTAAGGTGGGTGCTACTGATGCTGCAGCATTAGGCCCACAGGAAAAATAGGCCCCTGGAGAAATTGAAAAAAAATTCCCGAATTTGGGAAATCAAATTTTTTTTTATTATGAAAATCTGGCAAAAACAGGAAAGAGGCAAAAGTTTTCATGATGAAAAAAAATCAGGCACCAATAAATCAATTCCAGCACACTGCACATGTGAAAACCGTTGAAGAGGAAATCAGATGTAGGACATGAAAATCATTCCAGAGCCCACAATCCTTTCTGCATTAAAAAAGGAAATCAAGGCCAGTATGGCCAGAAACAGGAAGATGCAGTGACAAGGAATCATAGCCAGGAGGAAATTCAATCAAAGATTTCAATTCCAACCATGCCATCCTGCCTGACAGGATACAATTTTCACTGCTGTTCCCACCTTTGTCCTTAGACCAAGGTAAATACATACTAGTTCAAATAAAAAATATATATTCAATATATTCAAGTCACAAATATTCAAAATTACAATCACACAAAAATATAGAGATATGGAGATATGAAGAGAGTCTTGCTAAATCTTTGTAAGGTTTTATAATTAAAAATGATTCTCATCAAGCCTTACACCTTGATTATGTCAGCAGAGTATTCCTTGAGTGATGAAATTTTAGATTATAGTTGATCAATCAAATCAAACACAGCAATTGGCTGAGCAAAAACTGGCCTGGGATTTCTCCCCTCTAGAGCAGACCTTTCTTTGACACACACACACACACACAGGTAATTACAAATGGTTTGTACAAAAGAGTTATACACACACTCAGACTTGTGTCCCACAGATCTTCAAGGGATATATATAGTTGTTGGAAACTCAAGTTGTCCAGAAATGGACTCAAGTCCTTTTAAGCTTTGGCTTGGTAGCATATTCAGATTCCCAATTTGTCAACAAATTCAAGCACTGTTTCAGACAAAAAAATGAGAAAATCAAATCACTGTTCCAAGGTAAAAGTTTTGAAAATAAAAAGGGGGTTTGACTCTGAATTTTTCCGAACGTGTTAAAGGAAAAGTCAGTTGGCAAAATTTTTCTTGAAGTACAAAAGGTTCTTTGTAAATTTTGAGACACAACTTTATTAGTTCAACCTTCTAAACTTGACTGTGTTTGTTGCCCAATTTTCTGGGGGTTATATACCAAATCTTGCACCAGTTTTGGCAGGTTTTTGCTTGTTGAACTAATTTGAAAACACCAGGTGGTGACGTCTGCTGTTTTTGCACAGTTTTATGAGTGCATATTTTTCCCAAGACCAAGTGGTGTTTACAATCCTTCAAATCGTTTGCAAAATGAGTTTTCTGCTAAGGAACATGATTCTTGACATCTTGGCTGTTTTGCACAGTTGTTAAAGGCTATAAAATTGTTGGTTGAAAATTTGAGGTTTTGACAGCTTGAGAATTCCCAAGTTCGGGAGACAAATAGTTTTAAGATAGAGGAGACAAAGTTTTCGTTCATGTCTCCAACAGCTGGCCGTGTTTTTCCGCAAAATCTTGAGGGGTCAAATGACCCTGAGTTTTTCAGAGGAGTTGATGTCCCCCTGCTAAAGGAGGCGCCAACTTTTTTGGCAATTGTTTTTGTCCTGTTTCTGGGGATTGCTCTCCTTTTCTGGCCTTGGCAACTTTTGTTCTGTCAATTTGTCTTGCCTTCTATTTTAAGACTCCCCAGTTTTTAGGAATGGTCTTATCTTTTGTTTGGTTTGACAAATCTTGGGATGCACTGATTAGATTACAATTTTGGCTCCGTTTTGGCGCCTTATTTCAAAGCAGGGTCATGAGAAAATTCTGCACAAAATCTCCCCGCATCCTTGAATGACCCCTTTTCTGGAAGGGGTTTTTTCAAGACACAGTAAAAATAAAAGGCTGCAAATTTTTGCAAAAAGTCACAGTGCTTGAGTGGAGATTGCCAAGTGAAGGAGTTCCTGGAGTTGGGAATCCAACATTGTCTTGTTGTGCAAAATTGAATGTTGCACCCAAACAGTTATTTTTATGAGTGCAAGGTTCTTTGTTCAAGGAATGAAACTTGGCAATTGGTCGGTGCCCGACCAACCGTTTGGATCTGAAAAGATCCCAAGATATGCGCACTATATATTTGCACAACCCAAATTTTTGAGTCAACAAAACTCTAAAGAAAAATGGCAAAATTCCGCAAAGTCTATTTTCGTAGTTTTTTCCATAAGGGATTTTGGTGAAAGGTTTTTGACAACAAGACATTTGTCCAATGTGGTCTCTGCTTCAAAGAAGTCTGCTGATTCTGTTGGGACTTCCAGTCCCTTTTGTACCTGCAGAAAATAATTGGTGAGGTGTGCTGATCTTTTGCAGCAAAGACGGTTGCTGCATGAGTCTAACAAGGAGAAAAATAAATCTTGAGTTTTTCTCTCAGAAACAGGAGGTTTTTCCCGTTTTGATTGGCAACATCTGGCCAACCAAACGCAGTTTCCCACAAAGCGGGAGGTTTTGAGCCCCCTTTTTTCCAACAAAAATCTTGAGAGGAATTGTTTCCTTTTCTGAGTTTTTGTTCCCACCTGTTAGAGTTTGTTTTGGTTATATCCATCATTTTTTGTGAGGGGCAATTTCTAGTTGTACATATTTTTCGAGTTGGGCTTTATGGCCCAGTTCAGAGGTTTGTTTATGGCCCCTAGCGACAGCCAATTTATTGCTGTTGCTTGTTTTTGGCAGTTGCATGGACCATTGTGCTTGTGCAGAATTGCAAAGTTGGTATAACCATTGTTTTGTTCCCCCTTTGTTTCTTTCAAAATCCCCCCTGTGTCTCCTTCCCAAATCGGAGCTTCTGGGGAAGTGACTCCAAACCAATTTACGAGAGGAGACACACTGTGTGTGAGTGCAATAAACCAGAAAGTGAATGAACGTGTTTCGTGGAATAGGTCTTTGGAGCCGGAAGATTGCTGTGTTTTGACAACGAGTGAACCCCAGGCAGAGAGGAGGGGAGTCTTAAGGTCAGCATGGATGAGTCATTGGTGAGTCCTCTTTTTAAGCCTGCTCTTTGGGTCAAAATCCTCAGTGTCATGTGCAGTGGCGGCCTTAGGGTGGGGCGAGAGGGGCGGCCGCCCCAGGCCCCGCGCTTGAGGGGGCCCTGCACTTGAGGAGGGCTCCGCTGTCCGGTGGTTCTGAAAATTGGCTGTCCCCTTAAATTTTTCTTAACTTGCCTTGAACCTGGAAGGAGTGGGCCCCTTCCGAAAGGATAGGTTTATTTTTAACTCTTGACAAAGTTTCCCACCAAGTGATATGATCTATAAGTGCAGCACAACAAAGCCAACAATGCATTCAGAAGAATATTGGCATCCCAGCAAATTATGGGGGCGTTGAGGTAGCAACCGTTTTGAGAATGGCATTGACAACGCCGTTGCAGCGCCGTTTTCAGAATGGGGCTGATTGCCTCCAACGCCCTTTGGTTTATTGACATTGGGAGAAAGGGATGGCAAGGCGTTGACAACGCCATTCTCCAAACTTCTNGTGTCCCACAGATCTTCAAGGGATATATATAGTTGTTGGAAACTCAAGTTGTCCAGAAATGGACTCAAGTCCTTTTAAGCTTTGGCTTGGTAGCATATTCAGATTCCCAATTTGTCAACAAATTCAAACACTGTTTCAGACAAAAAAATAAGAATATCAAATCACTGTTCCAAGGTACAAGTTTTGAAAATATAAAAGGGGGTTTGACTCTGAATTTTTCCAAACGTGTTAAAGGAAAAGTCAGTTGGCAAAATTTTTCTTCAAGTACAAAAGGTTCTTTGTAAATTTTGAGACGCAACTTTATTAGTTCAACCTTCTAAACTTGACTGTGTTTGTTGCCCAATTTTCTGGGGGTTATATACCAAATCTTGCACCAGTTTTGGCAGGTTTTTGCTTGTTGAACAAATTTGAAAACACCAGGTGGTGACGTCTGCTGTTTTTGCACAGTTTTATGAGTGCGTATTTTTCCCAAGACCAAGTGGTGTTTACAATCCTTCAAATCGTTTGCAAAATGAGTTTTCTGCTAAGGAACATGATTCTTGACATCTTGGCTGTTTTGCACAGTTGTTAAAGGCTATAAAATTGTTGGTTGAAAATTTGAGGTTTTGACCGCTTGAGAAGTCCCAAGTTTGGGAGACAAATAGTTTTAAGATAGAGGAGACAAAGTTTTTGTTCATGTCTCCAACAGCTGGCCGTGTTTTTCCGCAAAATCTTGAGGGGTCAAATGACCCTGAGTTTTTCAGAGGAGTTGATGTCCCCCTGCTAAAGGAGGCGCCAACTTTTTTGGCAATTGTTTTTGTCCTGTTTCTGGGGATTGCTCTCCTTTTCTGGCCTTGGCAACTTTTGTTCTGTCAATTTGTCTCATCTTCTATTTTAAGACTCCCCAGTTTTTAGGAATGGTCTTATCTTTTGTTTGGTTTGGCAAATCTTGGGATGCACTGATTAGATTACAATTTTGGCTCCGTTTTGGCGCCTTATTTCAAAGCAGGGTCATGAGAAAATTCTGCACAAAATCTCCCCGCATCCTTGAATGACCCCTTTTCTGGAAGGGGTTTTTTCAAGACGCAGTAAAAATAAAAGGCTGCAAATTTTTGCAAAAAGTCACAGTGCTTGAGTGGAGATTGCCAAGTGAAGGAGTTCCTGGAGTTGGGAATCCAACATTGTCTTGTTGTGCAAAATTGAATGTTGCACCCAAACAGTTATTTTTATGAGTGCAAGGTTCTTTGTTCAAGGAATGAAACTTGGCAATTGGTCCGTGCCCGACCAACCGTTTGGATCTGAAAAGATCCCAAGATATGCGCACTATATATTTGCACAACCCAAATTTGTGAGTCAACAAAACTCTAAAGAAAAATGGCAAAATTCCGCAAAGTCTATTTTCGTAGTTTTTTCCATAAGGGATTTTGGTGAAAGGTTTTTGACAACAAGACATTTGTCCAATGTGGTCTCTGCTTCAAAGAAGTCTGCTGATTCTGTTGGGACTTCCAGTCCCTTTTGTACCTGCAGAAAATAATTGGTGAGGTGTGCTGATCCTTTGCAGCAAAGACGGTTGCTGCATGAGTCTAACAAGGAGAAAAATAAATCGTGAGTTTTTCTCTCAGAAACAGGAGGTTTTTCCCGTTTTGATTGGCGACATCT